CTATCTGAGCCGCTTCTTGTGTCTGCATTCATGCGGCTTGTACAGATCTGAACTTGTGTTCATGGGTTTTGTTTAGATAGTGGATTATGGATATTGTTTTTTTGTTCTCTAGTGTAATTGTTAGTTTTCATTGATGATTTGTTTTGTCTTCAAAATTTTTTATATAATATCTTATGATTATAATTAGAGATTATGTTTACAAAAAAAATCGATTTCTAATCTAAATGAATATTTTTAATGATAATATTTATATATCTTCTATATATCCCTAATGTTAATTTACATTAATATTGTCAATCACTCGGTCACTAATCAATCATTTATGAATAGTGATTTATTTTTATTGTAAAAGGCGTGGTAAAATAAAATAGGAAACTGAACAAACAACAATAGGAGCACCAAATCAGGCCAAAAAAAAGCAACTTAGAAATTTATTTGCAATTTTCATTTAAGAGAAAAAAAGGGAAATACCGGAAAAGGAAAATTTCCAAAGTCAATGCTTCGATTTTATTGACAAATCATACAATGTTTCTGTCTCTAATAAATATGTATGAATGAAAACATTAAATATTTGATGAATATTCAATAAATATTTGAAGAATATTACTTCTGTGAAATCTGCCCTTTTTTATTTCCACAAACGATAAATCCACGCCCAGTATTATATTTAAAACATAATTTGTTACAAAAATACATACGACGAATAAAATTTAATTTATCTTATAAAAAAATAAAATAAATTTATTGACTATGGGCAGAAATTCTCTGAATATATGTTCGTGGGTCCCACTGGAGAGCTTTGACTCTTTGACTTAACTATAAATATGCATGCATGGAGAGGTAAGTTAAGATCCTCGGCGTATGAGTTTGAAACGCATTCACCCTCCTTTCCATTTCTTTCCCCCCGCAATTAATCCGTCATTAATCATTCCTTATTTTCCTTAATCACTCTTCTTTTCCCTTTTTTTTTGGGTTTCTCCCCCAAAACCCAAATCAATCTTTGTGGTAAATCAGATTCTTAATTCCCTTTTCTTTTCTTCTTCCTTCGCCTGATTCGCCGTCGGTTCTGAATCATGGAGGCGACTCAGGGACACGATCACGGCGGTTGCCACCGTCCGGTGACTTCTCCGACGGCGTCGACTGTATCGGCGTCTCAGGCGCCGGTGGGGAGCTCTTTTGGTCATGAACTGTTCTCAAACTCGATTGATTACTACGGTCCGTATGCAGGGGCTTCTGTCTTTTCCCCTTTCTCCGATTTACAGACTTTGGAATTCGGATTTTCCCAACTGGGTTTATCCGATTCCTACGCTCAATATCATCATCCGCCGCCGCTATGGAACGGTGGCCGATCGAATCAGGGTTTTGTCGACATAGAGACGATCGACCTCGGTGGCTACTTGGTTTCCCCGATTTCTCAGCCTGAAGCCGAGCGTGAACAGATCAATCAGTTGCAGAGACTCCGTTTCCAGAACGATTGCGTTAATGGGTCTCTCGGGTTTGATGATTCTAGCCATAGAAGTAGTCTCATAGGTCATGACCAGATGCTTAGCCATGGCTTCCACAGTGGTAATCTAGGAGAAGTTCCTTTTCTTACAAGAAATAGTGTGGATGGTTCCATGTTTAGGAGCCATAACTTGAGGAGAAACAAAGTCGACTCTCTGCTGGAGAATTCGTCGAGCATGACAGTGATGATGGCTATGAATCGAATGTCGTACCATCAGTTGCGTAATGCTGTCGTGGAGGGATCAAGGCAGAGGTTTGATAGGGTCTTCAGCAATGTCATCTTTCGTATTGGTGAGCTGATGGTGGACCCTTTTGCTCATCACGTTGTTCAGAAGCTTATAGAGAGATGCAACGATGAACAGATCACTCAGATTCTAGTTGTGATCACTTCAAACCCTTTTCAGCTTGTTGATATTTGCAATGAATCTCACGGGTACGGAACCTTTGATTCTTCTGCTGTTCATGTCAGTTGATAGATACACACACACACATATACATTATGGTACAGAAATTCAGACAGCATTCATCTGTATGCTTTTTCTTTCGATGCCATCAAAGACTTGAGCTCGTTTTCAGATCCATGGTGTGTCACATAGTCTTGAATCTTCACTACATTGTCTGATTGTTCAGAATCTTGATTCTTTTCTTCTTTCGATCTTCGAGAATAAGACATGGAGTCCTCTCTAATGTTCGTTCATCGTCTTTGTTTGGGGGAAATGACAGGACTCGCACGGTAAAAGTTCTGCTGAGATGTCTAAGGTCTGCCGAGCAAAAATCCATCTTCATGTCGGCCCTTAGCCTCGTAGCACTTCCACTGATCAAGAACACCAATGGTGGCCATGTGATTCTCTACTGCTTAAGCCATTTCTCTCCTCTATTCAACATGGTAAGTTGGGTGATTCCTCCTCTCCTAGACTTGTTGATATGACAGCCCTTTTGCTTGTTTTTGTTTACCAGAAAAGGGACAGATGATAAACCCTAATCGATATATCCGAATAGGGCTAGACGGGATACCTTGATAAAAACTAATCGATGTATCGATCAAGGTCCATGTAGAACTCACCCCAACAGTTAGCTCGTTGGGACAAAAGCTCAATTGTCTCCATGTAGGGTCGATATGGGACTCTAACATATCTCTCTACTGATAATATACTCTTTTCTCGTGTGCGTTTCGGTTTTTATAACTTTGGCAGAGTCTTCTCGAAGTGGTGGCTCAGCATTGCTATCAAATCGCGATTGATCAACACGGTTGCTGTACGCTTCAGCATTGCATTACACACTCGACCGGCGAGCTGAAGCAACGTTTGATCAGCGAGATTATCGTCAATGCCCCGAGGCTTGCCAATCACTGCTACGGGTATAAGCCGCGCATGGAATCAAAAATCTCGAAAACCCTGAAACGACATTTTAGTTCTCCATCGATCATGACATGAATTTACAAAATAAGTTTTTGGGGTTTTCCTTCCTTTCAGGAACTATCTGGTGCAGTACGTGTTGCTGCAAGTAAACGACCAAAGGGCGACTTCCGATCTTCTGAGACAGCTCGAAGGAAACTACGCGGATCTGTCTCGAGACAAGTACGGAAGCCACGTTGTCCAGACGTTCTTGAGGCATTTAAGGGAAGAAGATTCTAGAAGAATCGTGTTCGAGCTCCTTAGAGATCTCAGTATGCTTCTCATCGACCCGTATGGAAATTACGTCGTTCAGACCGCACTGGTTATATCCAAGGTACCTTACAAAGCCTCACTCCCTTTACTAATGCATCATGCCATTTGGTTTGCTTTTAGACACAGAGAAAGATTCTGAGATCCATTAGTTTAAACTAGACTCTTATTATCATCAGTTAGGTTATCAAGTATCTCTTTAAGATACAAACTATATATATATATATATATATATATATATATATATATATTGTCGTCTATCAATCATCTTTGTATAAGGGCTGGACAAAAATACACAAAATTTGGATATCCTAAAACCGAATACTTGCCTTTCAATGAGATAGAGATAGTGATTTAATATCTAAAACCCAAAATTCGGATTCAAGTTTGGGTTAGTGTTTTCAAGTTGGTTAATTAGCTGCGAGTATCGAATAGTAGAAAAATAACGATATATCTTTTAATTATTAGAAAATTACAAAGTTATCTATTAATATCAAAATGTTGTTTTCTTATTTAGATAAAAAAAAATTATGGTTTTATAATCTAGTTATTTTGAATATAAATATTTTTCAATGATTTTATAAATTATTTATATGTGATCTATCGATTTTTTTTAGTTTTTAATCGAAATATATATTTGAAATTCGTCGGAGTCGATATGATATTTGCTGATACCTGAAAATTATCTTATGGCTATACCCGAAAATTCAGATTCGGATTTGGGTTTTAACATGCATAATTCGTTGTTTCAGATTCGGTTCGGATACCCTAAAAATCTCAATTCGGATTCAGATTCAGGTTCGGGTTTTAATTCATAAAATTTGTTTTGTGACGTGCAACAGGAGGATTTGCGAGAGTTATTGACAGCTTGTATCAGAAGGAACGACCAGCTGATGAGGTGCAACAGGTACGGTAGGAAAGTACTCGAGAAGCTCCATTGCTTGTGATCATCATGTTTCTATTACAGATCCATAAGAGCGTAGTTTGGTCGGAAGGTGATGAGCTTTTTTTTCTGTTCATTGTTATCAATATCATTTTGATTTTTTTTTGTATGATACTTGTGTTGTTGTTGTTGTTGATGATGTTGAAATATCAGTCCGTGACGTTTGTTTAGGTTATTTTGGTTTTGGATTGTTCTGAAATGACTACTTCTATAGATTCATATCATCTTCCTTCATATATATATATATATATTATCATGAATTTTAATTTATATTTCTTTTTAATGCCAAGTTAAATATAAACAGTTTTAATCTAATCTAGGTTGTATAATTTTTTGAAGAAAATTTTATGAATTGAAAAAAAAAGATTAAAAAATTTATTCTAAAATTGGATTTCTATATAAAAAATATTATATTGCAAATTAAATACTAAACAATACAATCATTTGAATGATTTAAATCCAACCATTAAATAATAAAATATTAGTAAAAAATAAAAAATGAAATCTTAAATTCTTCATTTAAAATTTAATTTTTTTACTCAAAAAGAATGTAAATAACTTCTTATACTCCCTATTTTTTGGGTTGAGTATAGATTTTAATCTACGACTATTTTTTATATTTATTAAAATATGCTAGTTTTTTAAACATTTTTTTAATATTTTTAAATTCTCCGTTATCATGTTTAATTAACTGTCTTTGTTTTTAAATTCCTTGATGTTTTTCAATTCTCAAATAAAATCCGATATCAGTCATCTTACGGGTCGGGTCGATGGTGGTTTGATTTTATTGCCTAGAAACAAAAACCCCTCTTCCAAACCCTAGCGACCGAGAAAGAGAAGAACCGGTGAAAGATAATTAGGAGATTCCTCGGAATTGGAATCCACTGATCGATTCTCGAGAAATGGGTTTGACGAATTTCATACTGACGGTGGCGGGAGTAAGCGCGGTTGTGGTTCTGCTGAGGAGCGACGTCAAGCAATCCGCCGCCATTTTCCGCCGGAACGTCAAGCACCTCCGCAACTGGCTCGAAGAAGAATCTTCTGCAGCCTCCAAGTCAGTCCTCTCTCTATCTCTTGTTCTTTGTGTATATTCATGTGTATGATCTTGTGTTTTAGCTTCGATGAAGACGTCGACCGATTTTGTGGTTTTGATTTGATTCGAGGCGTTATTCAATTCTGTTTAGTTCTAGATCTCTTCTGTTTTCGGTGTTGTTTCGCTCTGAGTTCGTGCTCTTCTTCCGGGGTTCCTTCATTTTTTTCTGTTCCCGTCATCCACTGATTTTGGAGTTTGGTTGTTCAAATGTGAATCATGATTCTGCGTCATCTGCGATACCAAGGTGTGTGATCTGATCTGAAACCACATTCCTCGTTAGTTTGGATCTAATTGGAATTTTGAAGTTTGGTAATAGGGTTTCTATTAGATTTCAGTACAAGCAAAAAGGGTTCTCTTTTATCGAATCCATAACCAAAACTATTATGATCTTTGAGAATTACTAATATGCTGTTGTATATAAGATTTGATCATTGATACTTCGGTTTCGGGAGCTCTAAGATGGATTCCGCATTGTTTTGGCGAACCAAAACGACGTTCTAAACCTTTTCAACTAGTTTCTCTTGATCATCCGTTCATATCAAGTGTCAGATATTTGATCATAACAATCCGAGAGTTGGTATGTAAGGGCATAGATTCAATGTTTTTAGGACTTATTCCTTGTCAGTAAGGCTCATCTTTCTGCCCACGAACAATAAGTTGTGTTTTCGTGTCGGTTTCAGGGCAGCCGAGGCCACGAAACCAAAAGAAATAGATTCGAAGATTCCGGAGAAGGGTGTCCCAAAAGAGAAGGATTAGATGTCTATACAGGGAGAGGCGTTTGTTTCAAAACACTTTTGTCAAGGTAGTGTAGCTATTTGGCATGTGAATTTCAGTTTGAAGTCAAGGCTGTTTCAAAACACTTTGGTCTTGGTGATGTAATAAGCTATTAACTTCAGTTTAAAAAGCAAAGGTTCTAACTTTAGAAGTCTTAGGATTGGGTGATGCATTCCTGGGCTTGGTGGCTGCTTTTCCACATGAAAGGCAATTTAATAATATATTTTAATTTTTAGATGTTTACGTATAAGGTTTTGGCAGGTTTATGCCATGGCTAGGACTTCATTATTGGCTTCAATTTTGATCAATATGCAGACCGTTTGTTCAAAACATTTCGCTCAGTCTAATTACCAAAACATTTTGGAAAGTAAACCAAAACGGCGTCGTTTGACGATACCGAAAAAAAAAAAGGATAATTCGTGAACTTTTATTAGACGAGGACACCTCTCCCGGCGAAGAAGTTTTTTCTCCGCCAATGGGTTTACACACGCTGAAACTCGCCGCCGTTCCCATATCCTTCTCGTCAACTTCCTCCCGCTTCTTCCTCTACCCATTTCCCAAAACCCTAACCCTACCTCTACTCTCCCGCCATGTCCATTCTCATAGGCCTTCTTCCCCTCCTCTCCTTGTCAGGGCCTTCTCCGCTTCCGCCGCCGTGCAGTCTTTTCCGGCCACCGAGGCCTCCGTTCCTGGCGGTATTCGACGATTTTTCTCCTGAATTGTTTTAGCTGTTTTTTTCCTCCGACGACCTGCGAGCTTTGAATGTGTTTGGTTCGGTTTTGTTGCGAGTTTAGTTGCGAGGCCGCAGTGGAAGGCGAGCATTGATTTTAAGTGGATAAGGGATAACAAGGAAGCGGTCGCCATTAACATCAAGAACAGGAATTCCAGTGCTAACTTGGAAGCTGTGATCGAGCTCTACGAGAACATGGTCAATCTCCAGAAGGTTATATAATCTTCATTTCTACTCAACTGATAATCTTTTCATCATATTTCGAAATTCCGCGTTTCCTGTTGTCGATTGATTGAATTCGAAACTGAGATTCGTTGTACGGGAGATATGGGCCACTGTTCTCGTAGAAGTGTTTGTCCGAAATCTTGATTGAGTTGCAAATACACATGTTATTGCTCATTGTCCTGTTCATATATATAGGTTACAGAAGTATATTCTTTGCTTGAGTTTGTGGATAGTGATTGATGGAGCGTTTCTAGTATTGGCTTATCAACATGGTTCAACTTTGTGAAAACTCTAATTCGTAGTGTTTGGAATAGATCTTAGAGAAGAGGATGAAATCGATTTTCTCTGGGTTTAGCTAATGAATGGTTGCAGATAGCAGGAAGTTGAGCGGCTACGTGAGGAGAGAAACACAGTTGCCAAGAAGATGAAAGGAAAGTTAGAACAATCAGAGCGTGAGAGACTTGTAGAAGAAGGTGAAATGGGAATTCTTCATTGACATAGATTTTGTGCAATGTGATTCTTCGGTCTTTCTATATTTATTGAAGCCCTAGAGTGTTTCACCTTCAGGGAAAAGTCTTAAGGAGGGCCTTGCAACTTTGGAAGAAGAACTCGTAAGACTGAAAGACGAGCTCCAAAGTGTAGCACAGTCTATACCGAATATGACCCACCCCGATGTCCCTGTCGGAGGAGAAGATTCTTCAGCAATAAGGAAGATGGCACGTGATCCTTAGCTTCCCGAATTGACAATGATATCTTTGGAGTTTTACCTCATAACTTAGACCTGATTTTATTAAACTTTTTGTTGTGGTCTTTGTAGGTCGGTAGTCCGCGTGAATTTAGTTTTCCGATCAAAGATCATCTTCAGCTTGGCAAAGATCTAGATCTCCTTGACTTTGATGCTGCTGCAGAGGTATGTTTTTTGTTTACTTTGAGGTATGACATGATGGCACCACAGTTTTTCAGTTTGCTGGATTATCATTAGCATCTTCTGCTTAGATCAATAATCTTAGATAGGTTAAAAATATCTTAATCTCGAAATTTGTTTATAACAAAATGTGCATCTTTTAGCTTTAGCCTTTAGTTTAACTAATTTTCTTCATAAAGCACATGATTTACTTTTTGTTGATGGGTTGGGGAAATACAAGCAACTGAGACTGCCTAAATAAATTGGCTGACATCGCACCCTTTTCATCAAACATGAGATAGATGACCAAATTTTTGATATCGCATTCTATTTAAGTTTTTAATCAGAATGATACGCGCGGTAACTCCCTTTTCTTATGCATCTGGATGTTGTTTGAATCCATCCATACATACAGGTGAGTGGTTCAAAATTTTACTACCTGAAGAATGAGGCAGTGTTGCTGGAGATGGCCCTTGTCAATTGGACATTGTCAGAAGTCATAAAAAAGGGGTTTACTCCCTTAATAACCCCTGAAATTGTGAGATCTTCTGTTGTTGAAAAATGCGGTTTCCAACCCCGTGGAGATAATACTCAGGTTTTTTCCATTACCTGTCTTTTTACTCTTCTACACTTGGTGAACATCACTTCATGTTCTCGATTGTGTTACTCAAATTGCCTGATGTCCAATCAATTGTTTGCTGGCTCCTCTTGTTAGGTTTATTCTATAGATGGAACCGACCAATGTCTCATTGGCACTGCTGAAATTCCCGTGGGAGGCATCCACATGGATTCTATACTTCTCGAGTCAGCGTTGCCTTTGAAATATGCAGCATTCTCTCACTGTTTCCGTACTGAAGCTGGTGCTGCAGGTGCCGCTACTAGGCAAGTTACCAAACCAAGTTTCATTCACCTTTATTACATCTGCCTATTCTAGGGTTCCTCTCAGGTAGAATTGTCACTAATACATGAATCTGTCCCTATTTTCGTGTAGG